ACACACACACACACACACACACACACACACACACACACACACACACACAGGGTGTTGTATTTCCCTGAGTGTAGTCAACAGCTTTGATAATAAAGGTAAATGGACTGCATTTATATGGCGCCGTTCTACCTTACAGGACAAAGCGCTTTACAACTTGCTTCTCTCACTCTTACACACACCCCCCAAACCTGCCAGCCTTGTGATTAAAGGACGACCCGCTCTAACCCCTGAGCCACAGATCATAAATAAGAGGCGGCACAGTGAATATGATCACTAACAGATGAAGAAATAACGAGGGACGTTTCGTGTGCGAGTGTGTCTCACCGTGCCCATCATAAAAACAAGCTCCAACAGGAGAGCTGTTCTCAGCCATCCCTATGGAATGCGTGTCTCACTCACACACACACACACACACACACACACACACACACACACACACACACACACACACACACACACACACACACACTGCTGGAAACACTCACTAGAGCACCAAATGTGTATTAATCCACAGCTGAAAATAGTCCCCGACAAAATGCACATCGGTTGGATGCGGTTTACCGTGAGGAAACAGCCTAATAAAGAGGCTAAAATGATGGAACTACATGCTTTTAAAAAGGGTCACGTCACCCAAAATACACACCTGCTAGTGTCTCTGGCCTTGCATTTAGTGTCAATGCTTCTGCGGATGGTTTTATACATCTGTTTGAAAAAAATTCAGAACACAATGTGCCTGTTCTGAAGCACCGGCCTCACTGGGGACACTTTAAAGAGACTTTCTTCAAAGGTAGTCCCGATGACAACTGTTCATAGTGAGATCTATGCAACCAGGACACTTTTGTCCGTAAAGAAGCTTTGCTACTTCTTCCTTTCCAGAAAATACAGAACCTCTATGCATCCTACACCAGTCCTCTCCTCCCCCTTCCTTCCCATAGCGAACACGTCCATGCGTAACTTCCCTATCGGCTGTGATGCTGAGGGGGAATTTCTTCCCATGGTGCAGCTGTCTGCGAGAGCTCGCTCCGCCGCCACCCTCCCACCAATCCCTGCAGCGCTCCACTGCTGCAAAACAACACTTGTGTTAATGTTTGGGCATACGTTGCATGCATGCTGCACATACGTTCCTATGAGGACGCAGGTGCAAAGAAACACATATGTTCAAGCACGAGAGGAAGCTGTATTCCGCTCCGTTAGTGTTTGCAAAATAATTTCCAAACACACACATACACACAGTCTGCAACGTGTTTAACCTGCTCACTGAGAGGACGTTTTATATAGAAAACACATGTTGGGCCGTAAAGAAAGATACAGAGAGGAGGCGGCGTGGGAGGGATGGTGACAGATGGGCAGGGGGAGGTGGTGAGCCGCGCATGACGTCATGTGATAAGTTAAAGGGTACGGAGTGATGAGGAAGAGGAGGGAGGACAGGAAACGGATTGATGTTGAGCGGGAGGGAGGAAAGGAGGCGGTGGGACAGAAGAAGAAATAGTTGTGGGTTGCACTGCAGATGGTTCGTTTGTTAAGAAGGGAAAGAACGATGGAGGCTTCTTCACAAATACATCAAATCAGCCGAGTACATTTATTATATTTGTACTATTTTGATGTACTTTACCATTCTTATTCAGTACTGTGAGCATCACAGCGCTGCGTTTACACTTTGTTTTCTTCGTCTAGTCTCGTTCGCAATGCGGGACATGAGGCGTAGAGTCAAAAAAACATTCATCTGCACCTTTAATCCTGCTCACAATCATATATAATGTGTTAAGAAATATATGCATGGGAATATATGTGTACGGGAACTGACAAAACACTTAAAAATTGAGTTTTATTGTGGTGTAGTTAACAATTTTGAGTTAGACTTGAGCCCTGTCCAAAATTAATTTATAATTGCGTTCTGATGTGACACCATGGTGTTGTTTCTCTCATAAGCGAACAGCAAAGACAGAATGTTATTACTATCTACAGCACAAGAAGTAACCAGACACACACCCACAAGAGAAAGTGGAAGAATTTAGAGGGCTGTGTTTATGCATGTTTATGTGTGTGTGTGTTAATAAGAGCGAGAGTCGGTGAGCATCTATTTCATCTTTACAACCAATTGAAATGCAGGAGGCACACCATTCTTATTAGCGGTGCTGTTGACAGGTTGGCAGGTGAAGAACGCACACAAAGAGTGTGTGCGAGTGTTTCTTAAAATACTCAGGAGAAAGAACAAAACACAGAAACAGTAGCAGATAGTGATTCATGAGTGTGTGTGTGTGTGTGTGTGTGTGTTCTACCTGTGTGTGCGCCAGTCTTCGGGGACGATCCAGAGACGCTGAGCGAACACTCCATCTTGGCCGTCTCCCACGGATAGACGACGGTGGTGTCCGATCGGAGGGCGACGGCGAAGGACGGGCCTGCAACACCAAAACACATCGGCTCGAATAAGACGGCAAACATCAGAGGAGCTCAACTCGGATCACGAGGATTCATTTAGACTGTTTTTCATCCTACAGATACTAGAACTCATTCAGGTCCCTGAGGAACGACGGTGGCTGTGAGATTACGGGGAGAAAATGGTGCAGATATTTTGGATTATTAGAATATAAAAAGCTCTGGCACAAGGACACAAGCGTTCTCTGGTTGTTTGGTATTTCCTAAAAGGACATAACTGCCGGCTTAGCGTTTGAGTGCCGTGTTTATCGGCCTGTGAAACATCAACTGTGGCGCACAAATTCATTCATGTTCAAGCGTGAAAGCTACAGTCACGTTGTGGTTTTTCACCGCGAGAACACTCAAGTCGTCTCTGCTAACACTTCGGAACGTCGTTCTGACAGTTTTCCCCGAGAGTGCTGCATTACTCCGCTGTCATGTGTGAACAACCTACTGTATAATACATGCACAAACACCATGTGGAGGGATATAAAACAGATTCCCTGGGTGTTGGCACTGGTGAGCTGTAAGTGAGATTTAAATCCAACAGGAGCAGCCTCAAAATGATCTACACAAGCATGGTAGTGAGATATTATATGTATTCATTATTCCTTCTTTATCAGCAGCATATTTAGGAGTTCATTTATGTCTTCTGCTGAGGGAACCGGCAACATTTGGTTTCATGGGGACATCAATAACGCCCTAAATGTTGACGTATCGTCGCCTTTGAAACGGCTTTATAACAATCTTCCAGAATGATTTCAGAGGCCACTCTGAAGATAAATGAGGAGTTTTCTTTCGTGTTTGGTCGCTGGCTAAAATACTTACCTACCAGTTTCAGAGCCGAGATGTGAAAACATCAGGCTGTTTTAAACAAGTAGAACCGAATTATGTAAACCACTTATTTGGAAGCAAAAACAAAAAGGAGAACAAGCCCCAAACAATTAGAGTGAAGTGCCTCAGGTTATGTGGTTTCTGTGGAGTCTCCAGATCTCAGTGGGAAAGTTGGAGATTAAAGAATAACCCACAGGAATGAACTATAAAAATCAGATTCAGCTTGTAAAAACAGAATTCCCCTTCTTCGCAAATGTGGAATTCTAGGAAACGTCAGATTTAAAGCAACTTAAAGAAGGATCTTGGTAAATCTTCACACTAGCCTCACAGTAGTCACATGATTACATGTTTTTCCTCTGGCCACTCTGTATTTATGTTACCATCCATCCACCGAAATCACTTAAACACTGAATCATTTAAGACTAAACGTGCTGGTGAGACTTTGGATCTCCATATACGGCGTAGAAAAGATCCCTGCACGGGCAGGAACGCCATGACACGTCTGAAACATTCAAGATACAGCTGGAACCTTGGGAGGCTCGCCAGTTTGTGAGTGTGATCACACACACACACACACACACACACACACACACACACACACACACACACACACACACACACACACACACACACACACACACACACACACACAGAACTTCCGCCCCTAAGGTAACTATCAGGGGTTCTTGGAAACGTCTCAGCTTGAAGCATGAACGCTGTCAGTGTGTGTGTGTGTTGCCCTGTGTGGGATCAACTCAAAACGTTCAACTTGGTTACACACACTTGCACAATTGAAAGATTACACGCACACACAAACACTCAGGCACACACACCCACACACAAACACTCGCGCACACACACTCACGCAGGCAGAGAAAGAAAAGGAAAGCAGCGGAGCAGCACTCTGCAGATGGCTGATTGGCCAAAGGGCTTCACTTTGAAGACGTCCCAGAGAGAGAGAGAGAGGGAGGGAGACAGTGGGGGTGAGAGAGTGAAAAGGATAGAATGGGGGAGGAAAAAACGGGAAGTGATAGAGAGAGAGGAAGTAATGCTCAAGGGCTGCTGCCCTCCCCAGGGAAGGATAGAAGATAGTCCATCTTTCTTTTCTCTCTTCGCTCCGACAGTTTTTTTTTTTTTTCTCCTCCTACAAACCTCATTCAGACGGTTGAAAACACTGCAGCTCTTCTATCAAACATGCGGAACAAAGTGATGTGTGCGGAGCAACCAGCAACTACAACTAGTTCAGCTCGACATAGACTGGACTTTTGAGGCCGAAATATTTGAAATTAAAACACGAATATTCTTTTGGTTTTGTAGTTTTTTCAGACGTTTATTGTGAAGCACTCTAACTTTTGTTTTGAAAGGTAAGTTCCTGCATTCCTGCAATATTCCCTCTTCTTTCTTTCTCCTCATCCTCTCTTTCGCCTCCTTTTCTTCCTCACCATCTTTGCTCCTACCATCCTTTTGTGTTTCCTCCCTCTCTTTCCTTCTCCCCCCCCCCCCCCTACCATTTCTCATCACCTTTTCATCTCTCCCTCCTCAGCCCACTTCACCACCTCCTTTGCTTTGTCTTCCTCCTTGTCGCCTCCCTTGCCGCTATCCCACTTCCCAGTCAGATCAAAGATATTTAAGTAGGCCAGTGGCTGTGGTGGGCGTCAAAGGGCTCAAGGTGTGTGTGATTATTTTTCTACATTATTAGATAATTTATGTTGCTTATCATTAACACTGTGTGGGAGGAGAATGTGTGTAGAACTTCTAGAAATGTACAGAACACAACTGCTTACATATTTCTATCTTTGGACAGGTACTCTTCCAGGAACTTGGATTTTTTTCCTCCATCTGTTCAGATTGTTATGAAAGTTAAATTATTGATGAATCTCATTAGTGTTAGAAAGTATTTCCCCAAAATGTGGCCTTCTATTACGCTGACTGTACACAGCCTGGTTGTAGGATATTTTACGAAATGAGTGCAATGTCTTTATGAGAAAAGATTTAGGAAAAAGAAAGAGAAACCTTTAGGGTTACGCATTACAAAGAGGAAGTATTTAAGTTTTGTGGACAAGTGAACACATAACACACACACATATTCCCACCATTTTCCTGAAAGTCGATCTTGACTTTGTTGGACTCTGCGTTGGTGGCTTTGGTCCAAGCTTGCCTCGCCTGCTGTTTGGTCCACGCGGTGATGTCACACCAGTAGAAACCTCGGTCGGACAGCTGGACGCCCGCCAGGCGAAACCGAAACTCTACCGGGCCAGACTTCGTCAGAACCAGGCCGTCTCTGAGTCGACAGAGAGAGATGCATTTCAAAATAAAACTCCACTGAAAGGTTCACGCGTGATGATGTATAAATATAAAGGTGTACCTCCTGTTGGGGTCTGTGGCTCCTCCGTGCTGCAGTACGTTGTCGGGGCTGAGGGTCATGATGGTTCTCACGCTGCCCTCCAGGCTGTCCTGTGATTGGATGAGCACCGAGTAGCCCGCCTCCCCGAGGTTCCCAGTGGCCACGGTGCAGCTCATCTCAAAGGTAGCCCCGCCCACTGAGGCTTCACGGACACGCTTGGCCACGACGTTCAGAGTGGGACCTGAAGATGACACCCATCAATCAACTTTAGGACATCATTCAGCCCGCCAGAGAGTCCGAGGGGGAAATCCCCAACAGGAAGTGACAACATGAACTTCTGATTCAAAGCACACACTCACACAAAGCAATGCTGTTACATCATGGCTCAATTAGCTAAATTGAGGGCACCAAGGTCAGCAAGTGGGACTTAAAAAGAGAGGAAGTGTGTGTGAGAGAGACACAAGAGGTCTGTTGTGTTGGAAGATTTTACTATGAAGTCTGGAAATGACATGTAGACATTAGAGCGTATTCATGACACTCAACAGCAGGGTTACTGTGACCGGCTGGCCCCAGTGTGAGAGTTTTCTTAGTCATGAATGTGAGCTAATGGTTCTGAATTTCTCCCAAAAGTAGCTCATTAAATGTTGATTTCCCCATAGAAGAAAAATAATTCATTGTTTCTGTCTGTGCCGAATGTTTTCATCTGCATCACAAGTTTAATCTGAAGTAACCTTTACGGGTAATGTGTTCAGGAAATTGCACAGAATTTAAAAGTAGGTTGGGTATATCACAGAATGTGTTTCCCTTGAAGTGCCCGGACTCATTCGATGATATAGTCCACCAAACACAACAGATGAGGGCACATAAATGAAGTTTCCTCACGTTTGGTATCCCACCGCACAGCCAGCTGCGAGCTCTGGTACTCGGCGGTGTTCACCATGTCGCCCTGGCTGTTAACGCTCCAGGCTGACACACTGCACACATACTGGCCCATGTCGATCTCCTGCAGACGGTGAAAACAAGATATCGACGTTAGAAATTATACCACAGACATCAACAAGCTTTCTGTCGGTCATTGCGTTCACCTGAGTGCGGAGGAACAGTAGCTTGAATGTGTCAGGCTGGACTCTGGTCAGAGTGATCACGCCGCTCCTCAGCCGGTCAGAGTACATCGCTCCCGGCAGAAGGTTGCCGTGGCCGTCCAGGGAGCCGATGGGATGCGAGGTCTGAGGATCACTGCCTGTACCTACAGGGGGATCGGACAGGAGACACATTGAGAGGTGGCGGTTTCCAGTCTTTTACACGCCCGTTAGAGATTTTGTTCTGAGATTAAAAAAGGTACCAGGATGTGTGGTGTGCTCCCAGGTGACACCTAGTCGGCCTCCCAGGGGTAGATGGGTAATGTTGGTCACGTGACACGCCAGTTCTGTGGGTTCGGCCGTCATCTGGGGGTTGAGGACGGCTTCCAGGGCCACCGTGAAGTTTGGTTCTGGGGAGGAAAACAAAGAATCTTTCAAGCCGCTCTGATTACAGCTACAGGTAGAGGACAGCTTGGTACTGGGTCGCCACCGGTTATTAGAGCAACATAATCCCGATGAGGAGGGACAAGCAGGCTGCAAACACCATGGCTGAATGGGACAAGTGTCACTACCAGCAAACACACCTAAAACTGAACACAAGGCCTCAAGAATGTCACAAAAGCCCAACCCAAAACCTTTGTGAGACCAAACAGCTGCTGCTGAAAAGAGTATTGTACCGTCAAAGGGAAACCGCCCAATGGCTCAGCTTTCTCCGACTGGTTCGACCCTGTCAGACTAGCAGTATGCACATAGTACATTTGTAATTATCCCTGTAGTCGGTATCACTGGGGATGAAATTAATACGAGTTTCAAGCACCCTGGTGATTGAACAACAACTCAAACCTATTAATATATTGAGTTACAGCACTGCGCGGCCTCCGGAGAAATGATTCCCATCCCCAGCGGACGTTTCTCTCATCAGTCGTCACCGGGGTTTTGTCATTTTACAACCGCCATGAATCTCCAGACGAATGCAAAGTGAATCCCGTTCTTTTTGTGGTTCGGTCCTAAGCTGAGTGAAAGAGCCAGGCAACCAGAAATAGACCTGGAATAACTGTGTGAGATGAGGTGTGCGTGTCACAGTGTTAATAGTGAGAGTGAGTGCGTGTGCGTGTGAGGCAGGTCCTCTCAGTCAGACATCCAGATTGCACCTTCACGCCTCAACGAGCAGGAAACACACACACAAAGATTTCCACCTGCCGGACTGTGAGATATCCTCCACACACACACACGCATATACAAGCAGTCACTGACACAAACCACACACACACACACGGCAGAAACGCTATAAATACAAGCACGCACGTAAGAGCGTGTCCGAGTGTGTGTTTGGCAAAGGAGGGGGGTTTGAGTGATGTCATTTGGACGTCATACACACACACACACACACACACACACACACACACACACACACACACACACACACCAACTCATGCACTGTCACCATCTGTTGTCACACACACTTTAATCAGTGAACGTGTGAAGTTATTCTGCCAACTAGCAATGCCCCTCCCTCTCCCCCTCTCTCCCTCTCTCTCTCTCTCTCTCTGAAATGTTGCCTTATTTAGTGAAGCAACTCGTCACCAGTTCAGGAGCTCTGGTACAGCGCAGCACCAGTATGGTACAGTATACTGGATCTGTACAGCACCAGTATGGTACAGTATACTGGATCTGTACAGCACCAGTATGGTACAGTATACTGGATCTGACAGACCTTACACATGTATGTATTTTTTTAAAGGACCCTTACATGAATAATATGTTATTCAATTATAAGGACTCATCTACATCCGAAATGTATTCTGATTTTGCAGTTGTTTTATCATTTCCAGCCTTTAAAAATCAAACACATCCCACTGATGTCAGGGTTGTTTTAAAAAGGTTACCAGACACCAGCTGGCAGCTGGTGTCTGTTCACATGCAGTATACTGTACATGCAGAGCAGAGGAAGACGGCGCTACATCTGGGTGAAAGTCAGCAGTTTGATTGGTTATTTGAAACAAAGGGAATTGTTAAAGCGTGGTTTATGTCACACATCAAGTAGGAATACCACACCGTTGCTGAAGAAATCTTCTCTTCGGAAAAAAAAAAAGTTAGAAAGCCAGCGATGCCGCCGACCTCGTGTCAAGTCCTCTCAACCGAGTCAAACTCTTCTGGCCATCCTGTTCTCTGTGGGGTTTTAGTAAGCTTTACAAAGAAGAAAAGGCTCTATTAGTGTGTGGCTCGCAGAGGCAGAGTGAGGAAAAAAAATAGGTCAATGTCAATAACACAACAAACTATATATACATACACGTATACACACACGTATACACACACGTATACACACACGTATACATACATACATACATACGTGTATACATACATACGTGTATGTATGTATACATACATATACGTACATATATGTATGTATATGTATACATACGTATACATACATATACGTACATATATGTATGTATATGTATACATACATATACGTACATATATGTATGTATATGTATACATACATATACGTACATATATGTATGTATATGTATACATACATATACATACATATATGTATGTATACATACATATACGTACATACATGTATGTATACATACATATACGTACATACATATATGTATGTATACATACATATACGTACATACATATATGTATGTATACATACATATACGTACATACATATATGTATGTATATGTATACATACATACATATATGTATGTATATGTATGTATATGTATACATACATACATACACATACATACATGTATGTATATGTATACATACACACACATACATATATGTATGTATATGTATACATACACATACATACATATATGTATGTATATGTATACATACATACATACATATATGTATGTATATGTATACATACATACATATACATACATACATATGTACATACGTATACATACATACATACATACATACATACATATGTACATACGTAGATACGTATGTACATACGTAGATACGTACATACATACGTAGATACGTAGATACGTACATACATACGTAGATACGTACATACGTACATACATACGTAGATACGTACATACATACGTAGATACGTACATACATACGTAGATACGTACATACATACGTAGATACGTACATACGTACATACATACGTAGATACGTACATACATACGTACGTAGATACGTACATACATACGTACGTACATACGTACATACGTACGTAGATACGTACATACGTACATACATACGTACATACGTACGTAGATACGTACATACGTACATACGTACGTAGATACGTACATACGTACRTACGTACATACATACGTAGATACGTACATACGTACATACACGTACGTACGTACATACATACGTAGATACGTACATACGTAGATACGTACATACACGTACGTACATACATACATACATACGTACGTACACATATACATACATATATGTATGTATACATATACATACATATATGTATGTATACATATACATACATATATGTATGTATATGTATGTATACATACATATATGTACGTATATGTATACATATGTGTATGTGTACGTGTATGTATACATATGTGTACGTGTATGTATACATATGTACATGCGTACATACATGTACATACGTACATACATGCATGCATACATACATACATACATACATACATACATACATACGTGTGTGTGTGTGAAGGATAAATATGAAATACTTCTGAAATAATAGATGAGGAAGTGTGAAAATAGTGAGTTGTGGTGAATGAGGGTGGAGGCTCTCCATCAGTATTTATGCTCAGCGTCATAAAAGCACAGACTGGAGCTCCATACAGCCGGTGGCGACGCACAGCCTCCTTAATTTAGCCGCTTTATATTTCACCGAGCGGCTGGTGCTGCAGGAAGCGTCTTAAAGTGTGTCCCGAGGAAAGAAAGTAGTTCCCATCAGTCAATCCTGTATGAATTAAAGTTACCATGACGGCATTACATCTCGGCGGATGCTTATGTCGAAAACAGCTTCCTTTTTTTTCCTGTAAAAATAATATAATTGCTGCTACCGCTACTGATAAAGTGCCTTTCTCACTCATGGATCTACAACTGAAAACTGGAGATTGTAATTCATCGTCTTTGTACCTGAAGGGACAGATCTGTTGAGGCTCCCATACTCCATATAAACACAGAGTGTGGCAGGCAAAGCTTTGAGATGTTGCAGGAATCTGAAAGGCAGAGGGCTGCAGGGTCGTTGCGATGGTTCTCTTTGTGTTCGACCCCTATAAACTGTGTAATCACACCATTGATACGAGGTAATTATGAGCAATAAGCCATATCTATACAATATTTAGATACAGACACTCATACATACTGTATATTTATTCATTAATATTCTGATCAGCTGTGAAAAATGTGAAATATGAGCTAGCATGAAATACAAGCAGTGCTTTAGTGGCTCAGCTGACACAACAACATGTACACAGGGGAAGTGTCGCCACGGGTGAAAGGAATTATACCCTATTTAATTGTGTGTGTGTGTGTTTTCCTGCCGTGGGGAACTCCAAAACAAGTTCTCCTACTCTTTTTGTGCTTCCTGGTAGGCTGTGCTTGCAGCAAAGCATCGTGGGAAGAGTGGGCAACCTCAAGGCCACACATCAATAGAATAGGAACTGACTGGTTGACAACACACACACACACAAAGTTTAAGCTCATACTCAAGAGGACTGAGGATGAAATATATGAGCTGTAGTCAATTAGAAACATTGCTCTCATGGTGGGTGTGTGTGTGTCGGCAGTAAGGAGGAATTTATGCCCTCAGGCAAAAATGTAGGAGTTCCACCAGCGAGAACAGCCTCATACCCTCAGAATGTGGGACACAAAAACACACACACACACACACACACACTGTTTGAGGCATGTATGTGTGTGCAGCATTTACACTCTGGAAAAAGCCTTCAACAAGCCTAGTTTCACTCTCACGCACTTGCCTGACAGACACACACGCATAAGTAATCCATGTAAACACACACACACACACACTAAATGCTGTGGATCCCGCTCATTGATATTTCTGCTGTGCCCTCACGCTAACGTCTCTAAAGCCCGGTGGATGTTTCTAAATGTTACGCGGATCCTGAAGGCTTCAGGAATCTTCTGTGTATATACAAGAGAGCTGTTATTTTAACTAAGGGCTCCTGTTGACATAAAGCCTTTACAGCACTACAACCAGAAAACACACTCCATACCGGCGTCTGAGAAGGACTACATTTGCTTACTCTCATGTTCCTGATCGTTCATGACAAGATGTAGGTTCACACACGGAGAGTTTCTGTGTGTGTATAGATATGCATAAATATATATGTTCTATGTGTGTGTGTGGCGTGAAGGAGCCACCCCTTTGATGTAAAAACGACAAATATAGTTCACCTTGAATGCTATTTAAGAACCTCTAGAAACACTGACGGGAGAGGACGCACCGAACAAGTGAGACGGGAAGTGAGAGCAAAGTAAATATTTCAATTAGTCATATTTTTAGTTTGACGTCAGCACCATGTGGCGACTCTTTAGAAGGAATAAACCAGTGAGGCGTTTTTGATCTGAACTCACGACGTTAATGCCAAGAGGCAACAAAGCAAACTGGACTCATTAGAAGTCTTTTATTCTCGAAGCCAAACACGGACACGGGGCTTTGGTGCATATACGTTGTTCTGCAGACTTTATATGTTATCTATGTATGTAGTATTTGTTTAATGTCCAGTCTGTAGAATACAAATTTATGTAATTGCCACTTCCTTCAAATAAAATGACACTTGAGCTCACATGAAACTTTTAGCGAGTCAGTCTGCCAAAACACTTGCTGCAGCCGAACTGAGGGAGATGATGTAACAAGCGCTGAAGTCCACTTCAGTCATTTCATCGGGAGTTTGTCAGAAATCCAACCACCTCGGTGACGCCGTCTCTAATGGCGCGGCTAAATCCAGTGTGTGTGTGTGTGTAACTTACTGAACTGCTTCTAAATGATAGACCTCAATATCGGACGCTCCTCAATCTTCACTTCCTCATTCGTCATGTGATCTACACGACCAGACGCTAACCCAACTAGCATCGTCCAGCTGACTTTTAAAGCAGCAGACGTGAAGCTAAATATGTCGCTTTTTCAGTATCTATAGCAAAGACCTTCCTGCTTTTAAAGAACAGAAGTTGTGGTTTGTCTTGGATTGGCTGGTTATAAATCACATGACATCAGTTACTAGAGGCGGATGGGTATGTCCTTATACGAAGATGTGAATGAGCATCCTAATTCAACATTATATGGAGGAAAAGAAAGAAAACAAATTCCATTACTAACACTTCACCTCACGAGCCAACTACGTTCCCCAACATGATGTAAAAATCTAAAAAGGGCAGAGAAAGAGGAAGGAGAAGAGCCTGACAGACAGAGAAACCACCCACCATGCCAGTAATTGATTGGTGTCGACTGTGTTTGACACCACTTCTCAGGATCAGAGCATCACACACACACACACACACACACACACACACACACACACACACACACACACAGAGAGGTGGCAGAGTGCAGGACAGGCATGACTAATCAATCGTCCTCGCAGCAGGAGTCGACAGCTGACTGGAGGATTAAAGAGTTTCCCCTCCAGCCTCCAGACTCATATGTGGCACCGCGACACATCCACAAACTGTGAGATCACGCACACCATCCTTCACATGTACTTTGTCCAAATTTTCCACTGTGTTGGACAATCAGAAGTGTCCCCCAAACACACATGTCTTCTACTAAAGAAAGCGAACCCCCGTAATGTCAAGAAACTACAAAAAAAAGTAGTCAGAAACACTCACTGGTCTGCGCCACCTTCACCGTCACCGGGTTGGATGTTTTCTCAGCCGCCATGTGCCACCTCCCGCCTCCTCCCGAGCTCCTTCCTCCCTTCTCGATGAAGGCTCGGACGCGGCAGGTGTACGCCCCCGCGTCCTCCCCGCTCACCCCCCTCACCCCCAGCCGGTACTCTCTGGCGTCCGTCCGCTCCAGGCTGGCCTCCGCTCTCTTCCCGTGCACGCCACTCGAGGACACGTTGTAGATCACCACCCCGCTGCGCTCCATGGTGACGACGTCGCGGCCGTCGGCCAGCCAGGCCACCTCCAGGGCGAGGGCGGGCAGGTTGTCGGCCGCGACGGAGCAGAGGAGGGTCAGCGTCTCGCTGGGGGAGAGGAGCAGAGGCGTGGAGGACGGAGAGGAGGATGAAGCCTTCACACTGAGGGACTGACCTAGAGAGGAGAGGACAGAGAATCAGTCACTTCATCCTTATGCCTACAAACATGATGCAAAACAAGTAAATAATCCTGATAGAAACACTGAATTATTCGGCAACAATAAGCCGATAATGAACAAAAATACTCTTCAGCTCTGTTTACAGTTGGACATAAAGGTCAACCTGTCCGTCAGACGTAGAGAGAGAATGCAAAGTAAACCTAATCTATAAATGTCAGAGTCAGAGTTTGTTTTCCCAAGCATCCTCTCGGCTGCGATGCCGACGAAGAAGGTTTCTATTAAAGAGCAAAGTGCATCTTCGACAGTCGGATCAGGGGTTTGGACGAGGTCTCCTGTGACAACGTAGGCAGCAGTGTGTGGGGAAGAGTCTCTGTATGGTGTCTGGAAGACACAAAACCCAACTCTGTTTGACTTTTCTCATCCTCTTTACTCAAGTCGGTAAGTCAATATGAAGTGACTGGCACACAATGGACCTGAGACCTCTGTGTGTGTGTGTGTGTGTGTGTGTGTGTGTGTGTGTCGCTCATCTCTGGTTTCATTACAAACCACTGGGTGTTTCTCCAGCACTTAAAGAGGATATGGTGGCCCAGAAAGATGTAAGATACGGTGACCAGAGCAACCACAATGAATGAGGGGGGGGGGGGGGGGGGGGGGGGGAGTAAGGGGGCCTCTCTGAGGGACAGAGTGAGACAGACAGACAGACAGACAGACAGTGAGGGTCACGAGCCTCCTGGGACAGAGCGAGGCAGCGAGAGGGAAAAGTCTCACAGAGGATGCCATTAAAATAAAAGACAGCCACACAAGAGAGGGGGAACTCCCCCCCCCCCCCCCCCCCCCCCTCTCTCCCTCTCCCCCTCGCCACAGCCAACACACGGGAAACTGTGATCAAGAACCAAGAGACTTGAGGATTATCCATCGCTCCCTTTAGAGTAACTATCTACAGCGTCTCATCACCGCAGGCATAATTACTGTTCAGGATGTGCGGGGAACCTTTTAATGCCAAGTTTATGTTGCACAGGATCACATGCACTTAGCATATGTGACACGTAGGGTTTGTAAACCGTGTGCAGAATTAGCTCACGTCTGTTCGCTCACATTTGAGTTATGACTCAAAAGAAGCAAGTACGGATTTTGACACTAAATACGCTTCAGGTCTCTCTTTCCATTTGAAGAACCTCTGATGTAGAAAACCCTGTGAGGTTTAAGGGCGCTTTAGAGGCCTGGACTTACTTGTTTACTTCTTTTTCAGTTACTACATTTTAAATTGTGTCACTGTTAAGGACGCACGTAAAACTTACAAGATTTTTATCACAATTCTCCCGTATTTCTCGCACGTAGAAGCCCTTTCCACTCTATAAGTGCACTCAATAATAAAAGAAATCCAATCCAAGCATCCGTGGTAAATCTCCGGTGTAAACACCGCTCCACCAGCTTTAATGAAGTCCACAACCCCGGCCCCTAAACAAACTCATAAGAGTCGTGATTTTCTCTCTCTCACCTGTCGGAGTAACAGCAACAGTTCCCATCTCTCTCTTGCTCGTCACGATCTGTACCCACTTCCCTCCGTCCTCGTGCGTCCATTCCGTGCCGTTGCATTCGTAAATCCCTTCGTCAGAGGTTGTCACTTTGGTGATCACCAACGCGAACAGCCCGTTCCTCCCGGGAACCAAACGGATGCCTCCGTCGGTGTAGCGCCGGGCGTACTTCGCCCCCGTCACCACGTCGCCCTGAGGGCCGAAGGCCAAGATCTCCTCCGACGTCGCCCCCTTCTTCACCGACCAGGTGACGGACAGGTAGGTGGGGCGGGTGAGCTGCCGGGTGACGTTGCAGGAGAGCGTGAGGTCACTTCCTTCTGGGACCACTGGGGGCAGGGTCAAGGGGGAGACCCTGAGGGTGTTGGGGATGACTGACGGGGAAAGAAGCAAGACAAACATTTTAGGGAGACTTGGATGACACCGACAGGAGAATATCGCTGACTACAAACATAACACAAGAAACTGCAAGCTCTCAACACACACAGTAAAGACGATATATATGGAAACAGCAGCTTCAATGATTTACAGCTGCTTTCTTTGCTGTATTAGACGAAAGTGAATGCAGTTTAGCGCAGGTTAGTTTGATTTTAACTGAGGTTACAAGTTGGTTGAATCTACTTCTGGTCGAGCCTTTTGGAGTTTAGTGTACAACAAAACCTCTCGCTCATTTAAAATGGGCGTTTATGTTGTTTCTTTCCTCTTTTTTATTCTTCTTTGGTGTAACTTGCACAGAGCTTGGTGGATAATCAGCAGCGTATTTGCATTTCCTCGTCTATTACAGGAGGCATATTCTGAGCGGAGCGCAAGAAGATCTTGTTTACTGCAATAATCTGTTTAAACCAATTTCCAGTATTTGTGAAAACCAGCAAAAAAAAACAAAATCAACAACGACGGCAGCATAATCAAGGTAAGCAATGCCTTTAATCCCCCGGCAGCACGACGTCGATGGAGGTAAAACTCAGCATGCATACAGGAAATGAGCCTCTCGGTACCGCTGATTTAAAAACAGACACGTTAACATGGAAGTGCATGGACCTAAAACACAACACAACTTCAATTTCACCCAGATTCAACCATTAAAACACAGGTATTCATTAGGGAGGAGTGACAGAATCATAAATAACGATGACTCACTATTGCTTTAAATACAAGTCAGATTCCGGTTACACTTAAAGTACGATGAGGTCGAGTTAAACACACAACCGGCTCCAGATAAGGCTGTGTTCACAAAAGGTCGAGGACTCGCCCGCTCAGTCGACCCTCTTTCACTCAATGAAACAGTTCCTGCTTGCTTCCAGGAAGTGCTCTGCTGCTAAATGTGACATTCCAGAGCCTGAGCAGGTCTTAACAGGGCAGATTCTTTGTTTCTTTACTTGTTATGACACATCGAGAAGGCTGACGAGTCAGCGTCGTGAGGGGAAATGAAAGAATCGAGGAGCTCGGATGGTTTGTCTGACTTCGGGTGTGACGTTTAACGGATAATCTACTCGTACAACTCAAAATCAACACTGTAATGTAAGCATGGCTCTAAACTCTTCCCGGCATGAAGTTTCATCCCAATGGACTTCACAGAAACGGTGAATCATTTCTTGTTGAAAGCTAATTCTGGTCGTGTTACAAATGAATCCAAGAAGAAGCAGATAGCTGGGAATGAGCACGAAGCCGTGCATTATGGGAATTACACTCGTGCCATATTCACGTCCGGTGGGAGAGGCAGATTTTTGAAGCGTTCAGAGAGAAAAGAAAGAAAGACCCTGTGGTGGATTTGAGCCTGTTGACGGCCGTTTCTGCCGGTCACAGAACCAGGCGACCAATCGGATGAAGAACAGGGACATCGTCTTCCTAAAGCCATAAAGCGTGGACACCAGCGGGACAGCGCTGGACGCGTAGTGGAAGCAAAGAGTACACACCGCCGCTGTGTGCTGCAGAGATGAGAGCGCCTATGGCAGATAACGAAGGCAGTGCGAATAATCTGCGTTTTGCTCCATCAATTAAAATTAGCCTGAGAGGAGTTTTTCAAACCCTCAGCGACCTGTACTCTACTTGTTTCTTACATAACCAAACAGCCTCAGTGGGGCAGCCAGAGCAGTGTGTGTGTGTGTGTGTGTGTGTGTGTGTGTCTGGACTGGTAAAGACCTTGCAGCAACAAATCAGACTTGTCATCTCTGTTAACGAGTATTCGCAGACTAACACTCTTCGTACACCACAAAAACAAAACTGCTCGCTAATACATGCGCTCTACATATGTGCGACACGCGATCTCCTGTCGCACATAAACAGTGCCGCCTAGTTAATTCAGGTCTAAGTTTAACAAGGTGTCTGGGGAGCCGTGCCGGGAAGCAGCTGAACATGATGGTGCATTATGGAGCTAACTAACCTGCTGCTGTCAGACGATCCCTCTTTGGGACCGAGTCTCCCAAATTTGGGGGTTCACGTTTTTTATGGATTATCATTTTTAAGCGCGCTGTGGGTTCGGGCTTGGTTCAACAGTGGATTCGAATCAACAGAGTCGCCAAAAAATGTGTGTAATTACTGACTGGAGAAAAAAAACTCAATTAAATTCAAAGGAAAATGCTGAATACGGGGTTTTTTTTTCCCCCTCTTTCTCGCCATTTCTGTGTCAGAAAATAGTCCAAATTAAAATAAAAGAAGCTGTACACAGCGAGGTCTGAAGAGTCTACCGTAATGAGAACATGGTTTCTGGACAGACTACCACGTCTGAGTGTCACATGATATGTCAAGCTGACCCTTTAACAGAGCGACGAAGCGCTGTATCTGATCTTCCTCACGTCAGTCGTGGAGTTATGCTTCGTGGTTTTGGTGGAATCTTGTCATCTTTTCATATGCGGATGATTTTCCTCTATTTCCCCCCCTGCTGTGCTGGTCTTCAGCTCCCACTACGGTGCTGAATATAATATATCAGTTTCAGGTGAAAGTGCCCTGAAAGCAGACAGTGAGGTGTAACATCTTATCGTTTTTGATTTGATGGATGGTGATGTAAATGTTACCAACTGTAAACTAACGTTTCCACTCATTATGGACAGTTTACCGCCGTGTGATTTTAACATTTGTCCCCGTGGAGAGCGTTGATGATATTTGTGTTCTTCTCTTAGCCTGTGTGTTTCTTCCTGGTTACTCGTTTGACAAAAGCCAAGTCCTCCCACCTGGCGTCTGCTCCACCACCACGAGGGTGTTGAGGTGTGCACGAAAAGCCAAAATCATGAGCCAGTAATTGTCTAAAACCAGTGGCAGCGAGCGAGCGAGAATATATACATGGTCAGTAGAGCATTAGTAAGTCATGGGGATAGCTGTTAAATGAACCATCGTAGCTAGCTAGCTTCACACACACACACACACACACACAGCTCTCCCATACCGGTGAGTTCGACCGGGGCCTCATAGTTGCCACTGATGACGGAGTCGGTGCTCGGCGTTGTACACCAGTAGAAGCCGGCGTCCAGCGACTTCACCTCCGCTATCTTCAGCTCCACCTCGTTGTCCCGCAGACGCTCCACCGCGATGTCGCCGGACGCCACGCGCTTCGTGAGCGACGGGTGGGAGTAGCGGTTGTCGAAGGTGGAGATGATCTTCGTCCTTGCCAAACCGTCCGCCTCCTTGGACATCAACCACTCAAAATCCTGCCGGACAGAGTGGGATAGACCTTTACCAAGAGCACATTCACGCTCTCCTGAGGGTGAACACTTTTAACGTTACAAGCTTTCTAAACTTCGAAGAGAATGAATCAAAGGCAAGTGGTCCGATTTCCATGACTAACCGACCTCCCCATCCTTTTGATGCATGTTTAATACAACAGGTTTGAGTACAGTATCACTATTTCATGATCCACTTGGAGCTCCCTCCACGTTCTTTAAAACAGAATATTAAAACATGACAAAGTCACGTGACAATTAAACTGCTCTCTAATTGCAAGGGATTCTGGGAGGTTGAGAAACCTTGAGTGGTACTATGAACACTTTAGTTCTATACGTACAATTAGACACACGGCAAAGGAACATTTGCACAGTTGTTTTTTTAAAGGATTAAACTATATGCGATTAGTCTTCATGTAGTTCTGTCCTTTGTGGATAAAATACTGTACAACCCGAACATTTAAACTTGTGATGTGAAAAGCGACTCACCTGCTCACGAGGTCCGCTGTACTCACTGACATCACACCGGATGGAGACCGGCTGACCCTCCACCCGGATTAACGGACCGGGAGACACCGTCACCACCCGGGCCGAGCACCCGCCTTCAGGGAGGGAGAGAAAATAAATGCATTAAAGTAATCAATGGAACGCAACAGGACCATGGGTCGGATTCTTTTAGAGTCTTAACTTCAGAAAGCCCTCTGATCGTTACTCTGAAGGCTGAGACCAATCAATGAAGTATAGAACAACCAGTGTTACAGAAATATCATTTATAGAATGAATAGGCTGCAATAGTATGTGTGTATTTTCTATTAGAAGCAGCCCTGATGACCAATAACAGACCGTATTAACGCAGTAAGATTAAGGCTGCAACCAACAATATTATTCTTGTTGACTATTAATCTGTCGACTATTGGTTTTCTCTGTTAATCAAATAGCCGTTTGGTCTTTAAAATGTCAGAAAATGGTGGAAAATGTTTCCCAAAAGGACAAAGATATTCAGTTTACTGTCAATATGAACACGACAGACACTCGCACAGAAACGTGTAGCAGCTTGTGTAGAGCTGAACAGTATTGACGATGACTTCGCTAATATCCGCGTATTTCTGCTCACAGTCATCGAATTCTTCGGCAACAAATACCTGCTGTGTCAGCCACCTGCTTCACATTCCTCCATTAAAAAGTGAGGCGTGTAGCAACACAGCCGAGTCGGACACTCCGCTTCCTGGTTGGTGGAATCTGGCTGCTCTCGGCCTAACGCGCAGAATTTAATAGCAACGTGTTAATAACCACTGCAGAAAACAAATGTCTTCTTTCTTAGTGCTTTTCACAGAAAGCTGGATCAGCTCTAGTTAAAGAAGGAGTGCTTCACAAACAGGTCCTGTGCTTGTATGGTCCATCAATACTTGAGAGAGTCCATCAATACTTGAGTTTTTGGCAGTCGGCCTGGTGTTATGTGTGCGAGTGCGAGCTTTTTTTCCTCTTCCGCTTTAGTAAGAAACAAGTCACGATGAAATACGCACCGCAGAAAACACACTGTTTCAGTGTCTGTGTTCCCTCTCTGACAATCATTAACTTCCTATCTTCATTATTGCAACAGCAACAAAACGATGAAGCACGGAATGCTTGTCTGGGATATGACAGTAAGACACTTTAAATTTCACCATGAGGGGTGGTCAAAGGGGAAGATGTCTGCCGTGCCTTATCACAAAATGACCGTCATATACAATATACCTGTGTGTGTGTGTGTGTGTGTGTGAGAGAGATAGGGCCATACATCACTAAAATAGATAAGAGAATTTTCTTGGCTAGGTGCTGAGACTCATGGTTTTCTAACTCAATTTCCAGCCTGCCTGTCTCTCCTGGAGGGAATACTGCACAGCCAGCGGAGCCTGAAGACACCCAGAAAGTTGAACAATCAAGTCAAGAATCTGGAGTTTGCACATTTTTATGTCACAGTGGCATGGGCGGGCATGTGTACGGCGCCCTGCCATTACGTTTTTGTTTTTCTGATGAGAAGATTGACACCAGTTTCGCGTCTGTGCAGTAAATACGAAGCAAACACCTGGAGGCGGTTAGCTTAGCTTAGCATAAAGACTGGAAACGGGGGGAAACGGCTAGCATGTGAGGAACTGGAGCACCAGCATGGAGGCAAAGAGGGAACTTCTAGTTTTTCCTGATTAAAAAGGTTGATACCTCTGCGTCTGTTTTGTCAATATGAAGCTCCAGCCAGAGGTTAGCTAGCTTAGCTTAGCATAAAGACTGGAAACAAGGGGAAACAGCTAGCCTGGCCATATCTTTCTTGTTTAATCTTTCCAGAAACGTGGACGTACGGCGGAAACGTCCAAGTTTAAATTCCTTTAAAGAGGTTGTGTTGGCTTGACTGACAGGTATCGTGACCAATCACAGTCAGCCATGGCGGCCGCCGCCTGCTTGTCCCAATCCATCATGACGTTGTGTCTTTTAAAGATTAACTTTAAGGATTATTCCGCTACATTATCTACCTTTTTTCCCCTCAGCATCTGTCCCAAAACTATACAGGCTAATGTCGGGTGTCAGCAGACAGTACACACATTTATGGTAATATTGCCACATAAATAAATGGCGGCAGCAGATGCCGGAGGTCAGAGATCAGGTTAGCAGTAACTCCAGTTGAACAGAGGGAAGTGATTTGTGCACGATGGTGACTTTACCATCTGCAGCGTCAGAACCACACACACACACATGAATACAGCACAGAAACACACACCACAGGAGTGCTGGCGACATTTGATCATCTTACGCTGCACTAATTTAAGCCAAGGTGCTCTCTCTCTCTCTCTCTCTCTCTCTCTCTCTCTCTCTCTCTCTCTCACACACACAGGAGAGCCTATATGGCATTCACTGTTCTGCTCACACACACATGGCCACTTCAGTATCATGTAAAGCCATGGTTTAGTCTGGTTTGGGTTCATCCCTGTGGTGGAAACCAGTCCTGTGACTAAGCAGCACTGGCCGTGCCCTTTGCTTCAAAACCAGTCGGATAATTAGTCCGCCTGGTTTGACTCACAAGGCAAATAAGGCTAATAATGATGGCCAGCACAGTTTGACTTCCACGCAGGCTAATGTGGATTAATGGGACCTTGTCAAAGCTGGTCACCCAATGCTGGATGATAAATGGATGTACAGTTGTGTAATGAGAGGCTGAGCAGGGCTGAGACTGATGGGAGGAAACGCATTCAATTTGGGACTATTTTCTCCCCAACAGAACCACCACACACTGTTTTACATTTTAGTCAAATGGGAAAATGTCTTCTTCCTCATGATGGTGTTTAATTCAACCGTAGGCTCGAGATTACTTCATTACATCAGCTAAACTCAATTGTACAGCAGTTTCAACAGTGGCAATGGGTGTAATCCAGAACCCTCACAGGGAGACTATCCTGCCAAACCCCGTTTAAAAACACCCCCAATTTAGCGTTTTAGCATGACGTCACACGCAGACAAGTCTGACAACTTATTTTATTGATTTTTCTCAATGTCCTGGATTCAATCTCCAATTCGGCATGATCACACACACCAAGCAACCCATATTAATCACTTAAATGTGAACTTTTTCGAACCTGTTCGCTTGTTGCACCCCCTGAACGCTCCGTGTGGATGGCAGCAGACAGCAGCGTGAACCCGTTTAAAAAAGGTTTATTTTATTAACATTAAGTGCTGCTCGATGGATAGGATTCATGCCGAATTGATTATTGGACGTTATAGATACGAGAAATACTTTAAATTATCTTTTTTTTTTGCATGCACGTTTGCTGAGGAACAAGTAAACGTTAAATTGACAGATTTCTAAAGGGGGTTCAACATGTGGTTCTCCTTGAATGCCGACACGTATCTAAGTTAATTAGCTACCAACAGCAAAGAAACGTTTCTTACCGAGCGTTAGCAGACCAACGACGAGTGTGAGGACACAGTTATCCATTTTCATTCCTCTCTTCAACCCTCTTCTCTGCTTAATTTCCCCCCGCTTTCTTTGTCCTGTGCTGGGGGTAACACCACCAGTCCGCTGTCGGTCAATCCAATAAAACTCTTCAGATGCGAGTGAGTCCGTCCGCACCGTACACCGGGCGGAACCGCAGAGCAAAAAAAAACACCGTGCACACACGAGTGCCTCCTAAAACGGTGTCGAAATCCCGACGGGAGTGTTTACATGGTTCACACACTGCTGCCACTGGACCGGTTTAACGGGTGCACGAGGGCGAGATTGATAGCGAGGGTGAGGGAGAGAGCGCGAGAGAGAGCGGCCGGAAGTTAGGTGTCTGGCTGGAGGAGGAGGAGGAGGAGGAGGAGGAGGGAGGTCTCAGGTGGAGAGAGAGAGAGAGAGATTCCCATATCAATCTGTCTCAAGGTTTATGGTGCAGATATTAGTCTTTATTGCACGTCAGTGTTGACCCCTCTTGTGTGATGGATTCCTCCTGAATAGAGTTTAAATCACTGCTTCTTGTTTATTGATCCATTAGTGGTTTAGGAGTTGCCTTGAAACTGGTGTGAAACCACATTTCACACCAGTTTACATCATTTAGCCTGCAGGATTTCACCAGGCTGACACACGCCTGCACTCAGTCACAGTCCAGCGGTGTGTTTCCACAGACCCACCGTGCAGGCCAAGGGTTAAAACTTCATGGGACTTCTCCTGTGTGACATTTGACTGTCCTATTTTTAAAATGTGTGTGTGTGTGTGTGTGTGTGTGTGTGTGTGTGTGTGTGTGGCAAAGAGGAATCAAGTGTACATCCTGTAGTCTCAACACTGTGGCGTCTGTTCCTCACACATCTGTTCAAACTGACACACCCACACACACACACACACACACACACACACACACACAGTGGACACAGTGCTATCTTACTGCCCTACTCCCCTCTCAGTCATTAACCAGGTTGGAGATTCTTGGCACCCGGATCTGGTTTTAATGGACTGATAATGTACAATGTGAACATTAGTAATGCTTAGTTGCAGTCGTTGTAATGACTTGAATCTAAACAGACTTTATTTAGTTCCTCACAGAAACATAATAAAGTGGATTATAGTTTAGTCGTGAGGGGGAAAGTTATTTAACTTTTTAAAAGTCGGATGAGACTCGACTATTCTGCAAAGTTTGGTGCCTTTTAAAAAGGTAACATGCACACATTAAATATGCTGATTCATCACAGAAAAGCATTGGAAATCTTACACCGGACAAAAGAGATATTTAATGCAAACTGAGTTCCCTGTTAATGTGTGTTCTCTTTCAGCATTTGCGTTCATAATTTGAGTCATAAAGTAATTGTCAAGGTTGTGTGAACTATGACAAAGTCGGATTAAACCATTTCAAATGCCGACATGATGCCCTTTAATAGGAAACATGGACCTGTAGCACCCCCTTCTGGCCTCAGAAGAGAAATACCATTGACAGTTCAGATTTATGAAATAGGTCTATTGCATGTATACATCTGGCTGAAGTCTATGTATACATAAATACAATATGAATGAAATCTTTAAAGGTTTGAGGATGATCTTCTTGGACTCATGTTTTTAGATATTCTAAAGGAGGTTTGGGGGTTGGAGAACTTTTAATAATTTGTAAAGGAACATATAATACTTAAGTGAAGAGACAAAAAGTCATACAACATGTAGAAACTGCACGGAAGCTGATGAGACAACTGATCCCAAATTTCCCCCGCTTGGACCTGAGCACATGGAGCTGCAGCACCATCTAGTGGACAAAACGAGTCAGTGCAGACTTGTGGTTTTCTTTTGCATCCTCGGCTGTTTCTAAAGTTTCTTCCGATTAATATAAAGAAAACTGCATGCTGTGTTAAATGCAACCAATAAAGATTTAGAGTAAAAAGAGTATTTTCTTACTTCAAATCAACTGTGTCGACTGAAGAACTTTACACTACTGCAGGATTATACAAAACCATAGACAATGGAATTAATTAGGTGGATAAGGAGGACAATACAGAAAGAAAACATAGAATAAAATAAGACAATGATAGAGCTCACTAACATATTGTACATCAGTATTACTAGTCAGGGTGATAATGTTATTCCCTGTGCTTTGTATACAGTATATTAACTCAGAATACATTCATGGCTGGTTTGATGTTGGTTGAATGGATGGAATGAAATGAAAAGGTGTGAAAACAAGTTAGCAGCAGCACAGTGTGGGTGTAGAGTACCAGCAGCAGAACACAATGAGTAAGAAGTGAGCAGACAATTAAAATACATATAAATCTATGAACTAAAATCACTTTAGAGTAGCTGCAAACACGTCCTTGATCATTTTCTGTTGCCATAAAGAAGCTGCAAGTACAGGAAAACCTCCAGAACACACACACACACACACACACCAGATGCACTCGGCGGTAGCTCGGCACAAACAGCTAACGCACGTAAAACCACAAACACACTTTCAGCAAAAAGACACAGGATATGCAAAACACACACTCTCCCTCTGCATGCATTGCTCTGAGCATTCTGACAAACAGCGAGCTGCAGAGGTGATAATGACCACAGTGTGAAATATTATCTTCTGGAACAGATCATTTATTTCAATGCAAAGAGTTTAAAATGTACATTTTTTTGCATTAAAAGCAGATACTTTGATGAATACAATGCAAAGGCTTTGGTATTGCTGTTCAATAGATAAATATGAAAACACGGTATGGTTCCTTGTATGTTTTCTGCATACAAACACATGAATAAATGACATTTATTCACATTGTGATTAGGTTAACTTAACTGTCCTTTCATGAGCCAAACCTGCGGTTTCCAAAAATAAAGCATTAAAGATTTCATAGGTGAAGAAAATGTGACCTGTCTCTGGTAATAAATTCTTCCTTTTATTCACTAATTCACACACAAATACAAAGAAAAAGAGATAAAAAAAAAAAAAGAGCTGCATACAAATGTACATAAAAGAGTTTGTGTAAAATCATTAAAAGACTGCAGTGAAAATACATGGCTCTTATAATAGAAACCTTTCAAATGACATTCTTCTGTTGAGTCTGTCTGGAAGGAAAATAACGGTTTATGTGAGATGCTGAATAAATAAACTAAAAGTAAAGTAAAGAAAACATCTAAAATGAAGAAAAATAAGAAAAGCAGGTGAACCCAGAACTCCAACACTCACATGGTGTCACACTCTTTGTGCTTTGGCAGCTTTCTTTATTATTTTCCTGGGCTGAGGAAGAGGAGGTGGCTGCTCGTCATCGCTGTTAGCAGGTGGCCTGGGGGCCTGAGGGGGGGGGGAAAGGGAGAAGGAGTAGAGCGTCAGATCGGATGCCACACTGACATTTTCAGGCACGAGCTCCTCACTGGGGCCTCCTCCTACCTGTGCAGGTCTTCGGGGGCTGGGCTGAGGGTGAGCGTTGGGCTGGTCGGGGTTTATGGGATGCTGCTGTCTGGAGCGCTGCTGGCGGGGGCCGGTGTGGCCGGCCGGCTGCTGGTGGGAATGATGATGGTGATGGGACCGTTGATCTTGAGGATCATTGTGTTGATGGTGTTTATGCTGGTCATTGGTCCACGGCAACCGAAGCTCCCCCTCATCTGTCAGGTGAGAAAACAAACACCGATGGCGGGTCAGACCTGATGGTTTACATTTACTAAGTTCTTCAATCAAAAGTAATTTAACGTATATTTTTATATCTACACATAACATAAATAATACACATTCATCACTACAAATACACGAGGCCATTTTTTAAAAACATGAATTATGACAATGACATAATTAAAAATAAGAATAAATAAAACCTCACCCTTCAGTTGCATGCGTTTGCTCTGCTTGGTGTGGACGCAGCAAACAATAACGACGATAATCAGCAACAGAACAACACCTGATGAGGATGAACAGACATCACGCACAATTCATTTTAAAAAGGTACCGTGAGGAACTTTGAAGTGGCTATGAAACAGTCTCAGCTCCATCAAGCAGACGTACCTCCTCCGGCGCCCACAACAATCCACGAGTTAATTCCGAGAAGCGTATCAGGTAAAAAGGACGCTAGAGAGGGAGAGGAGAGGTGAAGAAACACATTGAATAAGTTTCGATTCTGGCTATTTCACTGGTTTTGTTTGATGGATGAATGGGCTGAAAGCAACGCATAACCTGCAACACATCCGGTCATTTATTATGTCTAATACTCACCGTTATTATCAATGCAGATTTGTACAATAGGTTCACTGGTCTCGGAGCTGACGATGTTGGAAACTCTGCATCTGAAGGAATCTGTTTTCACCTTATCGGCCTGTCTTGTCAGAGTAGCACCTGTCTCATTTCCCAACACCTTGTTGTTCTGAAGCCACGCAAAGGTGTGATCGGTCTGCCGGGGAAAAAAAGTGTCACCAACGGATGGATTGGAAGGTTTTCATGAGAATATGTAACGGAGTAGAACCTGGCGGGACAAATAGAAACTCGACAAACTCTGCGTCTCATTGTAATAAATCAGACATCTTTAAGGTGTGCTCATGCTTGGTTATAGAGGGGAGAGTAGGCCACAGACCATCTCTACAGGCTCTACAAACATCCTCAGCAACGTCTGTTCTCACCTTTGCTTGAACCTTGCAGGTGAACTGGGCATCTGAGATGGTCTTCTTTTTGTTGCATGTAGTCTTCAAGACAGGCTTCGGGACAGGGTCTGAGTGGAGTAGATCGGGCTTAGAGGTGTGCTCATTATGCATTGTAAAAACACACACTTGAAGACAAATATAATACAAAATAAGTTATTTATATTTCATGTGCACTAATATTTAGTTGTGACCTACCCATTACACATAAAAAGACTTTAGCAGTCCATTTCTTAGTTCCATCTTTATTAAGAACTTCGGGGATGTAACTTCCAGCGTTGCTCTTGATCACATTTGTCAGGTCCAGGGATCCGTCTTCTGAAATTAGCTCCTTCTTCCCTTCGACAAATTGGCCATTACTTCTAAGATCTAAGATATACCTGCTGTTGTGCTTCCATCTCAGTCTGTCTGACTTGTCCATTGTGAAGCCCAGCTGCACCGTAAAGTTCGCGCCTGTTGCAACGTGATTGTCGCACACTTCCTCAGAATCTTTGGAACAGAAAGAAAGGAAAAGAAACAGAGAATCACATGGTGAAGTTCATGACAACTGATACTGTGATATTAGTTCAGTTGTTCCCATAACCATTAAAAGACTGTTCTTTTCAGATGAACCCACATCCTGAGTGCGTGGTGCCACTGCCAACCGACTACATCCCACCACCTTGTGCTTCTTTTGGTTGTTCGAGAACAAAAGAGGCAGTCCGTAAAATAGTTGTCGAGATAGCAATGTTTTTTTTTTGTCATTAGTGTGAATTGTCATTTATTGACAATCAGCTGACATTTCAAGTCAATTAGAATAAAGTTCTTTATGTATGTTAGATGCTGATTATTGCTCCTTTGGATTTATACTTATTTATTTGTTTTTCAGTCATGTATTTAGGACTAATTCCATTTTTCACAGGTGTCAAAACAATTGGCCACATCACACTCTCGTGTGTGCGCACCCTCCACGCTGTGCGTACGGGAAATCTGACACCGAGCAAAGCATGTGAAATGAAACTCTGCAGCGATCGCTTCACCTCTGCGTACACTGAAGATGGACGATGTGTGTACAGGAAAAGACGCCCCCATATATATCAGACGAGAGTTTGGCTGCAATTCTGAAGAATTTGTATTCAGGTCATATGACAGGAAATTAATGGTTACATGAGCCACCATGTGATGAGGAAACATGTCAATATGTTCCCATATGACTAAAAACACAATGACCATTTGGTGGTTTCTTTGGATCAGACATTTGGGTCACGAGTCAAGAATGTCTTCATTTCAGCAGCAGTTATTGGATTGTATGATGAAAATAACATCAGCTGTTACTTTGCTCTTTCCATCAAACTCAGAAGAGTTCAATGATGCAATTCACGACATCCAAAAAGGTTGGAGTGACTTCATATCTCATAGGGCAAAATCCACCTCAAGACATTTCTCTTATGCCTCCTCTTAAAGAGAGCAGCCTGATGCTCTTTAACGAGTAGATATCACGACTTTAAAGTCTTATCATGCAGGGATGATGGGGTTCTGCACCTCTTAGTCACTTTCTTGGACTCATTCCTCTCAGTTTTGAACCGTCAGGGTCAGTATTTATCATCTGGAGATAGAGATGAAAATATAAAAATGATCTTAAAGTGTCATTGTTCATCCAGCAGCTCTTAATTACTTAACATAATAACGTCGTTTTCCATCATAACTCTCTTAAACGTGGCTGTTTTGTGCTTCATTTAAGTCATTTTGTTTTCTAAGACATATTCACGTATATGTTGAAGTCACTTTTCTGTGTTGTGTGACTGCTGCATCTGTAGATGACTTCTAACTTTGCTTTGCGTCGCTTCCTGTTCGTCCCCTGTAACCTCATCTCAGACCGACGTTACCACATCTGCTCGATGATTTATCTTGTTTTAGTTCAGTCGACAGACGCACACGTATATGAACGTAATCTTTTCATATTATAGATGTTACAGATCCTCAGCAGGAGTCCAACCCTCGACCGGGCCCATATCAGCTAGCTTTGTGCCGCAGCGATAAATTAACTTCTTAATTTACTGATTTAGAAAACAGTCTTTAATATGGAACTAATATACTTCGTTTTCAAGCATTTCTGTTGATATAATCGTCAAATTTAGAGGATTAGTCCAGTGTTACCGGATGTTTTAGCCCATTTATTGTATATTTTGCATCAAGGGAAATCAGTTTCTTATTATTTTTAATCTGTTTTTCAACTTGAAATCTGATGTTATTTCAGCTTTTACAATCTTTTGTTTAGTTGAACATATACTAAATGCTTTTTTATTAAAATGCAATGATAAAAGAATAAGTAATTGTTAAGAGTTTACATTACAACTACAGATCATTCAGCAACTCTCAACGTGAATTAATTACTGTACTGAAATAAATACAAATGTTTCAAATAAATATAAATGTTTGGTTTGGAAAAGAATTGGCATTAATACATTTTGTTGGAAACATGTAAAGGAGCCTCACTCAACTCAGATTCTAGTGAAAGATTAGAAAAGTAGAAAAGTTGGCCTGAGAGTTCAAACATGATTTATTTTCTTTGAAAAAAAGGTTTTGCTTTTAAAAATCTTGTGAAAATAAATGTAAAGAATCAGAACGGTTACAGGAAGTGCGTTTGAACTCTGATACTGAAGGAGATACTGCTTTAATATTCAAAGTCAGATTGAAATCCTTAAAACGCTCACATTATAACATCTCCCTCCTGAACGAGGAGTGTGTGTGTGTGTGTGGTTTCATTGTGCCATACCTGTGGAGGAGATGGCGGAGCAGCAGAGCAGGAGCAGAGAGATGGTGGAGACAGCAGCCATCTTCATCACCATCCTTACCGTATAGAACAGAAAGAACAGCCGCTTTCCATTATCAAGGTTATTTCCTGTCACAGCGGCTACATCACCTCCTTTTGTGTGTGTGTGTCGGCGTACCTCTATATATGTGTGTGTGTGTGTATGTGTGTGTTTATGGTTTCTAAAGGAAGTGATCCAAGGGGCCCGATGTACTTTCATTGTCTTAGAACAAAGTGAGCAAAATGTCATATTTAGAGAGCTTTACTGCATCAGCGACTAAAAACATAACCGTGCCCTCCAGTTAAAGATCATCATCTAATCTTGACACAAACACCAAACTATTACATTGTTAGGTGCCAAAAAAAGCATAAATTGGCATCAGTTGGGAACCACTTCCTCTTGTATTGTCAAAGTTTGGGGTTAGAAGTTAAGAATGCATTTGTTTTCTCACCACTTTCCGTCCTTCCGTTTCTTGTCGTTTCTGAAAGCTTTAGGGAAAAAAAAGTTTTGTCATTTAGAATTAAAACTTCTTTGACGAGTCCATCTGACAAGTTAGGTCAGTGTTAACAAATTTTTGCTGTTTATTTTGGCTTGAAATAAAAGTTGCAGCATCATCATCAACGGCAACCCTCGGTGAATCGTCCCGAAATGAGCTTATACAAGTTTTTAATGTCTTTGATTCATTAACGACAAAACTGTTGCACATGCACATAACAATATAACGCTAATCAATCTGTACCGGAGGCTAAAAAAACACAGATTTGTACTTGTGTTTTGGAAGTGAGAAAGGCCTAACTGGTGAAATAAAAGACTATAAACTGGGAAGTGAGATTCCTCTTCTCTGTCGTGATTTACTGCTGTAGCTTCAGTTCACACACGCAGGAACAAATAAACTCACTGAGGCTCTGACTGTTGCTCAGAGAAGAGTCATTCCTCAGGTCTCATTTCCTCCTGCAGCTTTATTCTTCTTTTGGTTTT